TGAGTGTGTGAACCTAATAGTTCTCCAACATCATGTGCACGAACCTCAAGAGATTTCAAATGTCTTGAAAGACTGGCCTTTTACTTCATAATTGATTTAAATTGAATTTCAAGAGTCTGACCAAAGCCAGTGTGTAGAATACTAAGTAGTCAAATTATTAGTGGATGTTTTGATGTTAAAAATCTCTCTCATGGGGCTATAACTGTGAGCATGCTGAGAAAAATATTCAGAAGGCTCCTCCTCACTCAAGAATGACTTTAACAGAAACGATACAAAATCTTTATGAAAAAAAAACTTACAAAATAAATTACAACCCTAAAAGTATACATATTATGTAAATTGCTCTTTTATAAATCATGAAAAAATATAACCAACTCTAAGAAACTTGCAATGGCATAAACAGGCAGTTAACAGAAAAGAATACATACAAGAATATGTGTTTGAAAAATAAGCTTATCCTCATTTTTGATCACAGCAAAGCTTTATTAGTTTGGCAAAAATGTTAAAGACTGATAAAACCTAGAGGAAATGGGGAAAGGACCAAGAGTTAACATTGTTGGCAGGAATGTAAATGCATCATTTTGAAAGGGCAAATTGACATTATTTGTGAACATTTTAAATACATATATTCTTTGATTCAGCCATTCCGCTTGTAGCATAAAGATGTGCTTGGTGAGAGTCCAATTTTTAATAACATATAAGGTACGTATGTGTAGTGTATATTGGTGTGTATATATACCCATATGTGCATATACATTATCGAGTGTACATGCATACACATTATCAAGTGTGAAAAGAAAAAATTAATAGTTTTAATAGTGGTTTGAGGAATGAGGAATTGGGGATTGGAAAAAGAGATTTTTGTAATATGTAAGTATACATTTATAATAGGAAGACTAGGAAAACTTCAGTAGCATAAGGAAGAAGTTTTAATACCAGTATGAGGCCAGAAGATATAAACTTGGTCTCCTATAGGCAGCAAACTACAAGTCAGTTCTTCACATAATCCTGGAAGCTTCAAAAGAGCACCTTGGGGCTGGGATGTGACTCAAGTAGTTAAGCACTTGCTTAGGAGGCACAAGGCCCTGAGTTCAAACCCCAATACTGCCCCAACAAAGCATCTGGTTTATGGTAAAACAATACATTTTGATTAAACTGTAAAGTGATAAGGAAGCTGGTAGTCTACAAGGGCGGTGTCTGTAATGTGTGTGTGTGTATGCTTGTGCATGTGCATGCACTCACAAAAGTCAAGAGAAGCTGAAACACCCTGGTGTTTCAGCTACTCATGTGTTCAGGGAACCCTAAGCCAATAAATTAGCATAAAGTTCTGATCAGAAACCACTGAAACCCCAAGAGCTCCAGAAAAACAAACACAGATCTTTATGAAGGAACACTTTCATAACCCAAGACTGCACAAGAAAAACCCCACTGAAGATGCACTTAGAAAACACAGAAATATGAACCACACAAGGCAACCACTGGCTGTGAGGGGAGACTCAACCCACACACATCACTTAGCATCCAAAGTAATGAAGGTGACAGAACAATTTTGAAAGGACTAATTTTAAAATTACTAACGGGAGAAAGGCAAGATATTTTAATGAAAGAATGAATGCTATATGCAAGGGACCAGGAGTTTTTAATTACATAAAACCAACTATTAAGATAGGTTTCATGTAAAGTACAACTAAAGAGATTTAGTGAAACATAGAGTTGGAAAAATTACCCAGAAATCAGCCCAAAATATTAACAAGAGCTAAGATTTGTGGAAAAAAGAATATGAAAGTCTAATGTTTAGTGATAAGAATTTTTAAATGAACAGAGTAAGAATTTGGGGAGAGGTAACCTATGAAGAATGGCACTATATAGATTTAAATCCTTGGATTCAAAACAGGACACTATTTCTCAAGTAGAAAAACAGAAAAAATATATACTTAGACACAGCACAGTGAAACTTCAAAACATCAAAGACAAAGAGTTTCTGAAAAAAACATCCAGAGGGCAAATCTACAAAGGAATAAGAATCAAACTGATAGAAGACTTCTTTTTGGCAACAGTGAATGCTAATGGATGATGCAATCATGGCCTCAAAGTACTATGAAAGAAAGACCCATCTATTTAGAATCCTATGTCCAAAATTTCTCTTAAATTCTCATTCAAGAGAACGGCATGATACAGAATTAAAAATACAGAAAGACCAGTGTATTGACCATTTCCTTGCCCCATTGAACTAGAGGATATCCAGAAAAAAGAAAGAGTAACAAGAAAAGGCACCTAGACCTTAAAAAACATGTTGGCAAAAGGAAATGAATACCAACTACTTAATATTCAAGACTACCTTAGAGGGTCTAATTTTAGGGGGTTTAAAGAATGAATGTGGAAGAGAAAGATTAGAAAGCAGTAACATGAAAGACGAGAGTGGAAATCAGAATTAAAATAAATTTAATCTATTACCCACAGTGGTAGTAAATAAACCCAGTGACTTTAGACTTGCTGAGCCATTTTATGTTAAAAATTAAGGATAGGGGCTAGGGATGTTGTTCAGGGTAGAGACCTTGCCTAGCATTTGATCCGCTGTGTTTGACTTCTAGCACTGGGCGGGAAAAAAGTTAGGGATAATGCTGAAAGAACAGAGATAGAATGTGTAACTTCTAAAGTTGTATAGAAGAAGGGGAAATAAAACTTGATCAATTCAGTATAAAGGAGGAGAACAAGGAACAAAGAAAAATCAGGGAAATAGAAAATGCTATTTAAGGTGGATCAAATATTACAAAAATAAAAATAGGTTAAATTTTACATTCCCAGTTTTAAACCAAAACCAACTATACTTTTTTTTAAGGAGATACAGTAACTTTTGCCATGGCAAACTAACCAGATTAATCCCTACTATCGTAAACAGGAGAGAAAAGGAAAAAAATATTTAAAAAAAAACCTTGTTTTCAGACATTGGACACAAGCTAGAGAGAAAGGAAACAAATATCCTTACATCTGTCCCAGGCCCTTTCTGACCATACCATGTGGAGAGGGGGCCTGGCGCAGAGCAGGGTGAGCTCCCTGGGGTAAGGACAGAGACTGAGGAACTGGGTATGGAGGGGCGCAGGCAGCTGACCTCAGTAGGGCAGAGTATAGAAATGGGCGAAGCTACACGGAGGAAAAGCTCTCTCTTCACAAAACTGGGACAGACTCTGCTATAAAGACTAGACATGGAGGATCTCTGAGAAAGGATGGTTCTGTACTTTGGGATGAGAAATCCAAATAGGTTTGGGGATCTAAAGGAAGAGGGAGCTGGGCTCTTTTTTCTGATTAAAGAAAGAGACACAGCAATACTTCAGAGCAGAAAGCCATGTGCCTTGGATGATGGGCCTGGGACAAGCTCATGGAGCTCCCCAATACCCGAAAATGACACAGAGCAGCAAAATGAAGCCAAGGACTCCAAAAGGGCAAAGGTGTCACCTGACAGAGCTATGTGTGAGGAACTCCGACAGTATCTGTGTGTCCTAGGTGCCTTGCTACCTTTTCCTCTCTGCATGCAGCCCCAGTCCCCTGTGGAGAGCCCCTGGAAGGTGTGATCTCATATGGAGGGAGAAACCACAGGAAGAAGACCTGAGGCACCCTTGCTGTATGCCCAGCTGAATGTGGCTGGAGAAGTAACCCCAGCAGATATTACCCATGGAACTCACAGAATCATATCAAAGGAAAAACCATTGTGTTTGAAGCCATTAGTCTGGGGACAGTTTGTTATGCAGCAATAAATAACTGAGTCCCCTCCCAATTGTAGGTGTAACTTATGGGAAATGGGAGAGAAAGCCAGAATTGAGTATGCATTGCTTTTCAATAGACTAAGACTTGTACTATTCATTAAACATCAATTTTAGAGAAAGAATTATAGTGCTCCTTTTCTAAGTACCTGAATATGTCTGAAATTCATATCCTTTCAATGCCCTACATGCAATGAAAAGATCAGAGCTGACCACTTCTCACTGCTTTGGTAATGGATGTCCACTGTTTTTGCTCCCCTCCTAACTCCTTCTTTGGTAGCAATACTCCATTTTTCCTTTGGCAAACTACCCCCTGCATCTTGTGAGCACCTGAAGGTGCTTCCAGGCAGCGTGCACTCTTACATGGTGTGTACATGTGAGCTGAATAGGTGAGCCAAACTTTCTCTCCCAGAAACCACAGGCAAAGAGTTAGAAACCATTGGCCTAAGTCATTCCCATGACACGAGGGTCCTTGCTACTAAGATCCATGCTTTTTCTTGGACCTTGTACTTTTCCAGGACTTTCCAAAATTCTCCCTTCCATTTTGCTGGTTTCTATTATCTGTCATCAAAGAGCCCTGACTGAACATGATATGCCTGTTAGACAGAAACTCAGTAGAGTCCTTTATACTTTTCAGTGTGGAGGTCACATGGCTGGGCCACATGTTGGCCTGGACACCTGCAATTCTTGCCAAAAAGGTCACTTGAGTAAGGAGCACTGATTAATTTGAGTGGAAGTCTGTCAACAACCCTTTGGAAGAAATCAGACCTTCTGGTCCTCTGCCTCAGGTCCAGGCCACACACTTCCCTCCCTGCCTCTCCAGAGGTCTCAGATCCCCATCTATCAGCAGTTCTCTTGTTCTTTGTAATTCGGACATCAGTTTAGCCTGTGTCTTCTTCTCCTCAAACCCTCCAACAACCCCAAGTACAGGGTTAGGTCTGTCATGGATTCTAATTCCTGCATTATTTGATTGGTCAAATCATTCCAAAGTGTCCCTCCCCCAAGAGTCCCACTTCAAGAGTATATGCTATGACAATCCCACTGGGTGCATGTAGGGTAGAGTTGTTCCTAAGGGCAAACCGAAGTGTGAAGATGCCCCACAGTAGTGGGCACTTGAGTGGGCACAACAGTGGTGACTAGGAATGTCCTGGACTGACCCTGTGGAGCCATGCTCTCAGGTGAGGTAGACCCATCCCCACCCCTGCAGACCCAGGAGAGAGCTTGCTGGGTGCCACTTGTTACCGTTTCTGTAGGACAGTGACAAACTCGTTAAGCCGGTCACGCTCTACCTCGGCAGCCTGCCAGAGGGCCTTGATCTCTGTCACTTGTGCCTGCCAGCCTTTTTGTTCTGGGGAGTCCGAGAACCTGGGATCAGAATGGACAGCAGAGGACAGAGGTTATCTAAAGCTTGAAGACACAGAGGGCAGAGGTCAACTGAATCTTGAAGACACATACTTACTCTGTGATGGCAGGAGGAACTAGGGCACTTAGAGGCTCTTAGAGACAGCAGGGAAGAGGCAAACCTGGCCTGCTGCAGGCCCCAGGCCTCACTTAGCTGCTAGCCACATTGGCACCTGTGTCCATCTAGTCCCTAGGGGGCCTGGAAGCTGCTATAGACCTGGTTTTTAGGGATTTGGGGTGCCCAGGGTACCTCTGTGGCCTTGGGGTACAGATACCTTGCACGGTACCAGGTAGCTCCAGTCTCTGTGTCTTACCAGCCTGTCCTAGTTCTTCTGAATCTCCTGGCTTGGCCCCAAACCCAGCCCACTTTTGTGGAGCCTGGACCCTTGGCTTTGTGACTTGGTTAGTTTTCTCCAGTCCTGACCCAGCCCATCACTGCTTCCCTCGTCACCAGGCCTGCCCACTAGTCCATACCTTGGGCCAGGACAGAAGACGAGCTCTGCCCCACTCCCAAGCCCACAAGTGAGTTCCAGGCTTCTCTCTCCTGTGCCTTCACTTTTCCCTGTGACACCATGGGCAACCATGGGTTTACTCTTCTTTCCATGCTGGGCATAAGGAGGGCTATCAAGGTGGGTAGTGTACCGAGGGCCAGGCTGGTACATGTGAGTCTGAAGGCTGACTCACTTTGTGGCCTTGGGTGGGTCTCTTCCTCTCTCCTGGACCCAGCTGTCCATCTGAACTTTGAGAGGATTGGCTGAGATGGACTCTGAAGACTGCAGACTCCTTTGTGTTCTGACACCTAAAAATGCACTAAGGTCTGCTACTCAAAGTGTGGTCTCAGGAGCAGTGACTTTAGCACTGTCTAGAAGCTTGCTAAAAATGCAGAATTCTGGTCTTCACCAGACTTGCTGAATCAGACTCTGCCTTTTACCTGGTGATCTCTGTGCACACTACAGTTTGGAAAATCCTACACTAATCACCTCCATGATTCTCAAAGGTGAACCAAGGAAAAGCAGGAAGAAGAGGCTGATCTCCTGACTCTGTCCTATTCCCTGACACACCTCCCTCCCCAAGTCATCTGAAAGGAGTGGGTTCAAACTATGCCAGCCCTGTTAGACATTCTCTCTAGGGTCACCCCTGTCCTGTGAATCCCCATCCTGTCATCAACAGAAGAGTCTGTAAGCTCCATGAGGGCAGAGTTCACTGTGATTGGGTTCAGGAAATACCTGTGTGTTGGGGAGAAACAAGCTTGTGAACCAGCAACCTGGGCATCCAAGGAGCACATCAGTTGCTATGTGCCTGTGGAGTGCAGAGGTCTTCCTACTCTCACTGCTGTGACTGAAACCTCAGAGACAGGGCCACCCCTTCTCCTTGTGCTGTGATGAGGAATCCCTACCCTCAGGAGTCGCACATGCCTGTGGCCCCCTTGCCACTTGTCCCCAAGTACTCTGGGGACCCCAGTCCCCAGTGTTCCTGGTCCTTGTGCTACCAAATGTCTGGCCAGAAATGTCTCAGGTACTTCCTAGGAGACAGCAGCCCAGGTGGAGGACCAGCTTGCCTGGAGCCACACAGAGTCAGAAGTGGGACTGGGCCCACTCAGGCCTGCCTGAAACCTGAGCTGACCTGATTGAGAAGCTGGGTATGCTGACAGCAGGAGCATGGCTGCACTGTACAGTGGTCAGTGCTCAGAGGCAGGACAAAGCCACCCATTATCTAGGAGCTGGCTGTAAGAACAAAGGATCTATTTAAGCCCTGAGGTTTCATTCTATAATAAAGGGGGCTGGAGAGCTGAGAGGATATCAGTGACTTAAAGTGGGAACCCAGATGATATGAAGGTCTCCCCCTAGAGGCGGATTTTTAATGAGTAAGCAGAGGTCAGAGAAGGTGATGAAAGCTAGACCTGAAAGATTCCTCATGTTGACTCCCTGGTAGCAGTAAGGAGCTCCAGTCTAGCAGTCAAGGTCAAGATTTTAGTTCTGAAGCTGTTTGCTCTATCACTGGGATGGGCACTGCCTTCCCTGACCCTCCATTGTCCTTAAGTAATCTTGGGAGTCTCCCTGCACTTTGCCTGGTCTGTTTTTCCTCCTTTTAAGGGATGAGAACACTGGTTGAGCAACCAAGGATGGGAGGACTGTGAGGGCTCAGGTGTCCTGGGTTCATACCTGGGTGAGATCCCATGGGGACTGGGCAGAGAAGGCCTCGTGAGAGCAGATTCCACCAGTGTGTGTCCCATGCTGCTTACAGAGCTGTGGAAAGACAGAAGGGGCTTACCAATAAGGTAAGGAAAACAGAGGCCTCCCCTCTGTGTGTGAGGGTGAGTAAGAGCCAGCAGGGTCAGAGAGCTGCAGAGATGGCCAGTGTAAGCCTTGCAGCAGCCCTGCCTGAGCAGTCCTGTGGATTTGCTGCCCTTCTTCCTAGAATTCTTGCTTGCTCAAAGTGAAACAGAGCCAGGCCGTATCAGAGCCTTGAGCAATCCAACACAGGACTGTTTGAGGGGTGTAAAAGAAGGTGGTACTCGAGACCAGCTTAGAGAAGCTGTGTACAGGGGGCTGCTACCTGCATGCTCTTGAAGTAATAAAACCAGGGCCTCACTGGCTCCTTCCTGCAGTTGCACAGCAAATGCCATAGGAGAGACCCACGTATTGGAAGAACAATGTCACAGTCATCTCAAAAATGTACTCTGATTTCCCATCAGAGGCAGCAGGAAATCACCTTTCTTCTGAATAATTAACATTGGCTCTCAACCCCTCCAACCATTTTGTTCTTACCGAGAAGATCCAAGCCTGCCAATGTGATCGCCTGCAGCAGGAGACTTGGTGAGGCCCTGATCCTCCAGAGGCCTGGCATGGGTGGGGCTGACCTTGCGCCCACTGGACCCCTCGCCCACTCCTTTACTCCGAAGATACTGCAGGGAACAAATGTGGGTTTGGTTCTCAGGACTTGGCACAGAGGCCTGGAGTAGGCAGGATGGGCCTTGGCTTGAATTCAGGCTTTCAGGGGATATGAAAAAGGCTTCTTTTCAGGAGAGAAAAGCAGGCCTGTGGGGTGAAGGCACTACTTGCATGACAATGACATCCAATAATGCCTCCCTTCAGAAAGGGAGTTAGCACCATGGTGTGAGGATGGTGACTGGGCCAGGAAGCTGCTCTACATTTGGGTCCCAATCGGCGCCTGGTAGTGGCCTTGTGTTCAGGCAGATCAGAGACTGCTGACTGCAAGAGGCTTACTTCCCCAAGCAGCCCTGACTATCATGCACAGAAAAGCCAACTGTGACTTCAGGCCAGCTATCCTGTCAGCTGGAACACCTGAAATCCCACATACTGGGGCCAGAGAGTTCAGCAGGACCTCAGCAAGAGCTGGCAGCCTGGGTAGAGGCTGGGTTTCCTGGACCCCTTTCTCCCTCAGACCCTTCCTCTCCTGGACACCTGATGAGCCTGGCTGCAGCAGGAACATTTGAGGACCCTCAGCAGAGGTCAGGCCACCATCAAGTAGGAGAAGTTGGTGTGATTCCTAACAACCTAGCATGAACCTGGCCCTGGTCATTCTGAGAAAACTTCCAACATGTGCCAGCTTATCTGGTGGGTAGTACTTGTCCCCCAGCTGGCTTGTGATCTCTGAGGTAGGGTTCATCCTCTCTGTGGGTCAGCAGTAAGGTGAAGATATTGAAATGTTACCATGTGCCTCTTTCCCAGTGAGTGGGTGATGGCAAGCAGGGCAAGGAATTCAACACAATGACCCTCACTGCCACACAGACTTCCTCATGCCTTTGGGCTCTCCCCCAGTCAATCCTGCAATCCCCAGCTATTCTGGCCCTAGGGAAGGATGGCTACAGGACAAGCCAGATTGGTCACCTGAGGCTAGGTGAAGGGACCTGGAGCTTTTGCAGTTTGACTGTGGACCATGGGTCCCAGAAAACAAGTGGCAGGGTTGCTCTGTGACATGTATTTATCACTGGAGACCTGTGTGCCTGTCACAGACTTCCCCACAGAAGCCATGGATCCTTCTTTCTCCAGCAGCAGACCCATCGCAGAAGGGAGCCCTAGAGAGCTGAAGGTGCCTGCCTCCTAGTAGCTCCAATCTGGGCCTTCAAGACATCTGCCCAGACAAATGATCTTTGGGAGCTCACTGAAGACAAGCACCTACTACGTGCCTGGTCCAGTGGGTACTGACACCCAAAGGTCTATTCCCCTTGGTGGGGGTATTAAGGAGGAAGCCTGGAGAAGCACAGAGGCTAGGAGAGTGCTGGGGGCAGGGATAGGACACACAGCAGGGTCTTGGGCTTCCTGGAGGAGACCTAAAGTCTGAGGGGCGCCTTTAGCCCCTCTGGTTAGCCAGAGGCAGTGGGGTAGGAAGGGGAAGGAACATGGTTCAGGCATGGCACAGCCCTGGAGTACAGAGTGCAGGGCCATGTGAGGAGCTAAGTGTATCTGTGTGGCAGAACACAGGAAAAAGTGAGGGATGATAAAAGGATACAGGAGGGATGGTAGCAAGAGCTGGTCACATGGTGCCCTGGCATCTGGATGAAGTATGGCTTTCATTCTGCCATCCTACTGACTGGAATGTGAACGTAGTGGCCAGGGTGATAGCCACCATTTTGAATCATCAGGATGAGGGCCACAGCTGGGGATGGGAGAGGGTAAACTGGAAGGAGCCTGGATCCTTGAGGCCTGGGTAAAGCTAAGGGCGACAGGAAGGCAGGGACAGGTTTCGGCATTTGGCAGAGCAAGGATACAATCGGGTTTATGTTTGGAAAGGAAAGTTGTGTGTGGAATTAGCTGGGCGCATGATAGAAGCAGGTGACCAAAGCAGAACCAGTAAGGACACAGTATGGCCTGAGCTAAGGCAAGTGGAAAGAAGTAGAAGGAGCTGAGATTTTCTGGATGCTGGGTGGACTTGCCAGGCTTGGAAATGGAAACTGCCAAGCCAGTGCCCTGCTCACCTGCATACTGAGTTGCCCAATCTCCAATTCTAGCTGCTGCACCTTCTCCTCCCGCTCAGCCACCATGGCCTGCAGTTGGGCCACAAGGCTGCTGCTCCTCTGGGCCTCACTGTTGACCTTCTGGTCCAGATGGTGCTGAGACGTGCGCATCTTTTCCTCCTGTAGACTCAGGCTGCCCAGAATCTCCTGTAGATGCTTCAGTTGGTCCTAGGGGAAAAAGCAGGGGGCGCTGATGGGGGTCAGGCTGGGCAGCATAGGACAAGGACAGAGTGTTTCCCTACCCGAACCTACCCATCCCTTTCCCAAACCAGAGGGAACCTAACAGTGGGACACTAACTGCTCCAGTGAGAGGTGGGAATACTTTTCTTGTTCACCCTTGGTGGGCTAAAGCCAGGCAGGTGACACCACACCTGTCTCCAGTCCTCAAATTCATTCTCCCTGAGATTGGGGCCAAGAAAGACATTCAAGGGGACTTGGAGACACCAGAAAAAGGCTTGATTGATATTCTCAGCTGGTAGGGCAGATATTTGAGTAAAAAGAAAGTCAGATCCCACTGGGTTGGGAGACAGTCTTTGGAGGCAGTACTGGACCCCTTGCCAGGGATCCTTCAGCACCTGACTGAGGCTCTATCCCCCCACCATATCCCAAGAAGACTCTGAGATAGAGGCTTCCTGCCTTGGAAGGCCAGTGTCAGTGACTTGGAACAGGTGGTGGCTGGCGTCCTTACCCCATATAGCAGAGACAGGCCCAGACAGCTCTAGGCACACTGCTGGTGGATGCCCTCTTTAGTAATAAAGGATATCAAGCCCTGTGTCTTGCTGTAAGAACAAGCTGCTGAGGCTGAGAGAGGGAACTCAGCTGGCCTGGGGGCACACAGGGAGAAACTGACAGAGGTGGGCCTACAGAGCCAGTGTAATGACCCCTGAGCCAACACAAGACGCCTCCAGAACCTCAGTCAAGCCAGGTACACCCACCTCTGGGGCACCTGCCCACAATACAGAATTCAGACACCAAACTGGACACCTCAGGTCCCAGAGAGAAAAGTCCAGGTCAGGACAGCAGCGTGACCTTGCTCACCAAGGAAGGCTTTATAGTTAAACTTGGGGATGAGTTATTTGATTTGAGCCTTGGCTTCCCTGCCTGGGGAGTGAAATTATATGACTTTAGTAGGAATTGCTTTGGGGACCATCCATTATCAAGTGCCTAGATGGGGAGACAAGAATTTGTCTGGTGTTCCGTTGTCCCTTCGAGCCTTGCTGAAAATAACCCAGGGTGTCATCCGATCTCTTTCCCCTTATCCAGCTCTTTCTCCTTGGGATCCATAGGCCTAGGAGTTTATGAGGGTGCCATCAACATCACAGCCATCTGTGTCCTTTCTGAGCTGCTCCTGTCTCAATGACAGGGCCTCATTACTTGGGCCCATCTGTAAGCTTCTGGGTTATGTAGGTAGCCTTTTCGGGTGAGTGAGAGCTCTCTCTGACTGGGTTGGGTCACAGGTTTCTGAGAGGCTAGTGGCCCATCCTCTGGGGAGCCAGGCCCTAGCTCTTGCACAGTCTGAATGGCTACCATACCATGAGGGCGTCAATGAGCTCATCGTCATGCCTGCCCTTCTCCACCAGGGTCCCCATCTGGCTCCGGAGGGTCTTTATTTCGTTTGACAGCACCTTGTTGCGGGACTTCACGCCCTCGAACTTCTTTTTCATCTCTTCAAGCTCTCTCTGGAGGGCATCCCGCTCACCAGCAAGTTTCTATAATTAGAAAGTGAAAGTGAGGGGATTCAAGGCCAGCCTGGGCTATTCCAGCGAGACCCTGCTTCAAAAGAAAACAAAAAGGAAAGAAGAGAAAGCTGGGGCAGCAGGGCTGAGTGGGGACTTGGCACATCTGGCTGGTCCCTGGCTCCCACTCACTACGGAGGCCCAGACGGTGGGGGGAGGGTGGGGACACTTGTTGGCATAGGCTCTCTGGGCTGTCAGGCAGGCACAGGCCTCTACCTTGCCCTGACATACAGCACTAATGGATGACAGCACTCCTCCCCTCAGTTTGAGAACAGAAGAGAAAACTTCTGGGCCAACTTTGGAGTGAGTTCCAACACTCCCTACCCAGCCAGGGAGCTGCAGCCTCTGGCACTGACTCACCTACTGTTTCTTCCAGATGCCTGGAACTCTCCTCCTTCAGGCCCCAATTAGCTCTACTCCACCTTTGGAGCCATGACCCTTTCCCTTTTACAACGAAAGTTTCAGGTATAGCATCCCAAAACAGCCAGGACAGGGCCACCCAAAGTTCACTGACTAAACTAAGGGTGAGGCCCCGGTCGGGCAGCTCAAGCTAGGTTGACAGGAGGTGAGGAACATGCACAAAGGTGAACCACAGTCCCAGGGGTCTCTTTCCTCTCAAGTGCCACTAGGGCTTTTGATCACACCTGTCTCAGGCCCTCGCAGGTGCTGTCTTGATCTCCCAGTCCTGTGTGGCACCCGACCTCCTTCTCCAGGCCTGCCTTACCTCCCAGCCTTCCTGCTTTTCCCTTTCCAGGTTGCGGATTCTCAGCAGGTTTTTCTCCTGTGCTGACAGCTTCCTTGAGTCTGGGTAGATCGACAGCTCATCACTGACTGTTCCCGCAGACCTACTCTGGGTCTGTCCCAACTGCTTCTCAAGTTCCCGAACCTGAGGGTGATAAAACTCATCATTCCACCAGAAGTCTGTGATCACAGGCTCTCCCACTCTTAGGTGTAATGGGAGACCCTGCTAGACTGGAGACAGAGTCACTATTCCAGATGGTGTGGTAGCTCCATACAAGGGAGTCTGGGTGGGATGATCTGAGTTGGCACCTTGGGCAAAATGGGAAGATATGGTTTAACTCAGAAAAGACACTTCAGAATAAGTGAGAAAAATTCCATCTCTGAGGGTCTTTTTGAGGCCAAGAAGAAGATATGTGGTCTCAGGAATACTGCAAGGATAGGATGGCAAATCTCAGCCCAAGGAGACTTCCAGACCGCTTTCAGGAGAAACTGCAGCAGGAGGACAGGGCTTGGACACGTAGAGGCTGGCTCAAAGCACAGGCTGCGTAACTTCTCTGAGTCTCAGTTTGCTCATCTTTCACGTGGCCTAAGGGTACACTCTACAGAATGCTATTGTGAGGATTCAGCATCCCAAGCTTGCCTGAGCCTGCGAATCCTCCAAGATTCTTCTTGGAATGACTTATCTTGGGGCCCAACCCAGACCAACAAATTACAGCTCCAGGGGAAGGGCTGGGAACCCAAATTCTTCAAATACTATAGGTGATTTCATCTTAAAGCAAATTATTACTATTTTTATAAATATTAACTCATATTAACTGTACACATTAATAGGTTTTTCTGTGACATTTCCTTACATTAATACATTGTGCTTTAATCATGTCCACTCTCCCTACCATTCTCTCTTACCTTCCCCTCTGCCCCCTTCCCTGGTCCTCTTCCCTTCCATACAGTCCCTCTTCTGTCATCTTTTTAAAAAAATTCTGATTTCCACATATGAGAGAAAACATGCAATACCATCTCCTTGAGTCTGGCTTTCACTCAACAGCATGCTCCCCAGGTCCATCCATTTTCCTGCAAATGACAGGATCTCCTTCTTCTTTATGGCTGAATAATACTCCCTTGTGAGTATATACCATATATTTAAAAAACCCATTTACCTGTTGATGGGCACCTAGGTTGATTCTTGGTGATTGTGTATAGAGTATGTGTATAGAGTATTGTGTATAGTGCTACAATAAACATGGACTACACAACTTTGTGTAGTGACTTCATTTCCTTCAGGCATATGCCCAGAAGTTGTATAGCAGGCAATAAGGTAGTTTTTTTTCAGGAACCTCCATACTGATTTCCACAGTGGCTGCACTAATTTACATTCCCATCAACAGTGTGTAAGGGTTTTATGTTCTCCACATTCTCATCAGCAATTTTTTTTCTTTTTTGATAACAGCCATTTTCACTGAGGTGAGATGGAATCTCAGTGCAGTTTTTTTTTTGTTTTGTTTTGTTCTGTTTTTAAGACAGAGCCTCACTGTACAGCTCAGGATGGCCTGCAACTCCCAAGCCTCCTGCTTCCACCTCAAGAATGCTGAGGTTCAATGTAATTTCTTTTGGTGCTACTGGAGTTTGAGCCTAGGATTTCACACTTGCTAGACAGGCACTCTACCACTTGAGCCATGTTCCTACCTCTTTTTGCTTTAGTAATTTTTTGAATAGGGTCTCATATTTTTGCCTGGATTGGCCTCAAACTACAATATTCTTATTAATTCCTCCTGCATAGCTGGGATGATAGGCATGCACCACCACGCCCAACTTGTTGGTTGCGATGGGGTGTTGCTAACTTTTCCTTGGCTGGCCTTGAACCACAATTCTCCTATCTCTACCTCATAAGTAGAGATTATAGGTATGAGCCACCATGCCCAGCTCAATGTAGTTTGCCTATTTTTTTTCAATACTGAGGCTTGAACTCAGGGCCTTCACCTTGAGCAACTTCACCAGCCTGTTTTTTGTGATGGATTTTTTTCTCAAAATAGGTAGGGTTTCATGAAACTGTTCGCTCAGGCTGGCTTTGAACCACGATCCTCCTGGTCTCTGCTAGGATTACAGGTCTGAGCCACTGGCATCCAGCTTCAATATAGTTTTGATTTGTTAAAGGTGTTGCATATTTTTCATATATTTATGTGTGCATCTTCTTTTGAGAAGCATCTGTTCAGATAATTTTCCCATTTTTACTGGATTACTTGTTCTTTTAGTTTTTTGAGTTCTTTTTGTATTCTGGATATTAATCCTTTGTCAGCTGGCAAAGATTTTCTCCCCTTTGTAGGCTGACTCTTCCCTCTGTTGTTTCCTTTTCTGTGCAGAAGCTTCTTAAATTGATGTATTCTATTTGTCAATTCTTCTTATTTCCTGAGCTACTGGAGTTCTACTCAGGAAGGTGGTGCCTATGCCTATATATTGAAGTGTTTTCTCTATGTTTTCCACTAGTAATTTCAAAGTTTCAGGTCTTACATGAAGGTCTATGATCCACTTTGAATTGATTTTTGCACAGGGTAGGAGATCAGAATCTAGTTTCAGTCTTCTGTGTATGGATATACAGTTTTCTCACCACCACTTGCTGAAGAGGATGTCTTTCTCCAACATATGTTTTTGGCTCCTTTGTCAAAACTCAGATGACTGTATTTGTGTGGGCTTATTTCTGGGTCCTCTTTTCTGTTCCATTGGTCTGCATATCTGTTTTTGTAGCAGTGCAAAACAGGCTGTTTCTGTTTCTGCGGCTCTGTAGTATAATCTGAAGTCAGGTATTGTGTTCTTTTTTCAGGATTGCTTTGGCTATTTGGGATCTTTTGAGCTTCCCTATGAATGTAAAGACTGCCTTTTCTAGTTCTATGAAGAATGTCACTGGAATTTTAATGGGAATTACATTGAATCCATAGATCAGTTTTTAGTAATAGGGCCACTTTAACAATATTTATTTTTGCTTGTTATGAATGATTTTAGGAAGTCCCAAAATGATCCAGGTTGAGCCCTCAACACGGAGCCTAGCACTCATGTGCTCCCAGCAAGCCACAGTAGATGTCATCCTGCACAACAATGCCTGTATCACACCAGGGGTGATAAGCCCAATGGTCCTGGTTTCCATGTCAACACAACCAAATGGTGGAATGAATTAGTGAACTAGGGCCAGGAAAGGGAGGCAAAATTCTCTAGGATCCCTGGTAAGGGGCAGGGGCATTGCTGTGAAAGTGCCCTGTGTGGCACCACATGGTAATTCTACTTTATATACAACCCGATCACAGTGACAACAAATTTGCTGAGTGCTTATTATGGCCAGGCACTGTGATGGGTGCTTTACAAATGTTATTTTATTTAACCCCACAACAACCCTCTAAGATGGCATCATTATTTCCACTTTACAGGTGAGAAGACTAAGGCACAGAGAAGAAGAAATTTGTCCAAGGTCTCAGAGCAAGTAGGACAGTGACAGAAGTCAGACTCAAACTCAGATCTCTTGAATCTCAAGGTTGCACACTGATCAATTAGTTTTTTGGAGTCACCCCTCTCATTGTGTTGGCTTCAAGGATCCCACAGAAGACCCTAAGAATAAAAGTCACCAAGAATCAAGACCCTGAAGTCCCTGGGGAGGAAGGTGACATGTTTGGCAAATAGTGGACATCATGCTCCTCATGGGCTTCTCAGTCTGAAGGCCAAGGAGGAATAATCACAAGTCACCTTGGTGTAGGACTTGCTCATTCCAGGTGCTGTGCTGACACTTCATACACACGAGTCATTCAGTTTTCTCAGCAGCTCATACTGTTATTATCCCCATTACAAAGATGAGGAAACTGAGGCACAGAAAGGCAGTAATTTGCTTGGGGTCACAAAGCAAAGAAGGGAGGAGAGAGGAGAAGTGAGGTTTAAATTCAAGCAGTCTAGCCCTTGGAGCCTCTGCTCTTAGCCTCTTTTGGTATGCGCCAAAATATTTACAAAACAGAGGGAGACAAGGCAGTTTTATTGGGCAATGAAAAGTTTCAAAAAACTACAAGCATGTGGACAAAACTGGAAAAAAGATGTGATTACAACAGTCACGCAAATTTACATGAACTTGGAAAAAATATGACTGGAGAAAAATAAATCAAACCAAAAGCACTGGTATTTGTTAAGAGCCAGTGCCTGGCGTGTGGTAAGCGTTATATAAGTGCTTGTTCATTAACTAAATTAAAACCAGGCTGGGTAGGGAGAATGTGAAACAACTGCCCTGCTGTGTGCTCTGCAGGCCTGAAAGGCCTTTCTGGTGTCAGTGTGCTTAAATCACTCATGTGGTTCAGTGCAGGCATTTCTGGAGTGTTCCAAGCCCTCTGTTTAGGGCCAGGAAAAGTCTGATGACCACTCACCTTGCTCTGCAAAATGAGAATTTGCTGAGCTCTTCCCCTCCAAGTTCCTGGTGAGGACAGGAGTTGCTGGACGTTGACATCTTCCCCAACCTCACTGACCAAAACCTGGAATAGGCAGGGTGTTCAGGATGACAAAGACAGGGCTCTCCTTAATGCTGCTGCACACTAGGAAGCAGGGCTGGGTATGTGGTGCTCCCAGAGGGATCAGCCTTGAGGTACACCATCTTCCTTCTGCCTCTGAGCACAGCCTTCAACAGGCCCACTTATCACCTTCCAAGGTCAGCTCTCCCTGCAAAAGAATAAACCCAGCATCCCCAGTATTTCTTGGTGATGCTTAGAGCAGTCAAGGAGATGTCAGCAACATCCACATAGAGCTCCTTGCTCTTAACCATTCCGCCATGAGTAGGACCACAAAGCTAACCAGCACCACTTGCCACCTAGAACTGAGGTACACCACCTTGCCCTCTGCAAAAGCCATTTAATGGTCACCTGAATGCAACAAGGAGGTGGGCTTCAGAGGGTCACTTGAGGATGTTGTGCTTTAAAGAAGGGCCCACTGCTGAAGTGCAGTGCTCAGGCCCTACCTCAAGGCTTTGGGCGGGAACAATACACTGCAACTTGTGACCCAGCCCCTCTGAACCCTGTTGGGGATCCCCATCCAGCATACCAAGCACTGGTGCTTGTTTCCACAATAGAACATTGTTTTGGAAATCTTGGCTCATCGGAGTGGTTCCAGCAGGGAAGGCAAATGCCAGAGAATTCACTACGTGAATAAAAATAAATAGTGAAGCAGCTGGGCCTGCTGGGCCTGTGGCCCCAAGTCTGAGCATTTTCCTTGGAAAGGGACCTTTCATGCACAAACCACCTATTCACTTTCTAATAGTACAGAGAGCAGAGGGCAGGAGGCAGGTCTTGGCAGGCTTCTGAGCAAAGGCGGCTTATTAAGTAGAGACTCAGGATCTATTTGTGCACGGAGAACGCAGGGAAGGCTTAAATGACCCTCCTCAGGTACACAGAGCTGTCCTCTTCAGCCTAGAGCTGGGGAGCACCACAGGGCATGTATGCAGCCTATTAGGCAGCCAGTGATCCCATCCACCAGATGGAACTATACAGAGGAGAAACAAAAACAGTGGAAGGAAGTTGCTGGATTTGGAGCCTGACCCAGCGCAAGCAGGATGCTCATGGGGCAAGCACTCCCTGCTCTTGAGTAGAACCCACTGTGCCAGCTGTGCTCTTCCTGCAGCCACTGCAGCCAAGAGGTCCTAAGCACTATCCCTGAGAGACCTTCTGGGCTATCCGGAGCTCCTGCTTCACAGACTGGATCTGGTTACGCAGTTCACTCATCTTCAGGTTCGTGGCCGCCAGCCTGTCCTGCAGGGCCTTCATCTCTGGGGTCTCCAGCTGCTTGGGAAGGATAAGAAAGAAGTCACTTGTTGCTTAGACAGTAATAATAATCATAGTACTTTTTTGTCTTAGTACATGCCAGGTACCGTGCCAGGGGCTTGACATGGAGCAATTCAGCAAGTCCTCACAAACCTGTGAGACAGGTGCTATTGTTGGCCTCTTCAGATGTGAAACAGAGGCTGGTGTTATGGTTTGAATATGAAATGTTCTCCCCACAGGCTCACATGAACACTTGGTCCCAGTTGATGGTGCTATTTTAGGAGGTGGTGGACACTTTAGGAGGTGGGGCCTGGAGGAAGTAGATCACAGGCTGTGTGCCTTGGAGGTTATACCTGGGCCCCAGTCCCTTCCTCTTTCGGTGTTTCCCGTCAGCCATGAGATGCTCCTGTTGCCAAAATGTTCTGCCTAACGATGAGCCCAGAATCAGCAGAGCCAAGGGCTACAGACTGGCATGATGAGCTAAAAACCCATCATTCATCCTTAAGTTGTTCTCTCAGGTATTTTGGTCACAGTAACAAGAAAGCCTGGGTAACACTTGGGCTGCCTGATTGGTAAGGTGGAGCATGGATTGTACCTGACAGCCCAACTTTGTGGTGGAGCCCTTTGCTATACATATGCACACAGCTATGTACCATGGCCACAGAGGTGGGGCATCTGGAGGCTGCAGGAACCACAGCTCCCAGATACTTCTTGGGCATGGACTCTCTCTTCTGTGCTAAGAGATCAGCATCACAGCCAGTCCATCTTATTCCAAATAAGGAGGAAACCAGTCCATCCACAGAAGGCCACTCCAGCTTGGCAGGAGAGTACAATTTCTCCTGGAATCAGAGTCATTGGCACATGTCTTGTCTGTGACAGCTGAGGGGCTTCAGGCTCCCTTTCTGGCAGGATACTCACTGAACAGAGATAAGGACGGGGTTTAATCCCCAAATGGTCTATCTCTGTGGCCTGAAGAACTACAACCACCACGAAAACTCCCTGCTAGGACTCTCAGTGATGATTTTTAAATTTTTTTCTTTAAAAAGATGTTTGGACTGGAAGTGTGGTTCAAGTGGTAGAGTGCCTGCTTTCCAAGAATGAAGATGAGTTCAAATCCCAGACTCATAAAACAATAAAAAAAAAAACCCATAATGCTTGGATACATTTTTCTTAAATGTGCTGACCACCTCTCCATCTCAAAAGACATTTCTGAGACATCCAAGGGCAGCCCATCCAAACTCCCTGCATAAGTGATGACAATAAGATCCAGAGAGGGGAAGTAACTTGCCTTCATGCACACAACTGGTTGAGGCTGGCATAGGTAGGATTAGAACCCTGGTCCTTCTCCTGCCCTGGCTAACTCTCCCAATTTAGATGGTGGTGGCTGCTGCTGAGCATCATGGCAGCAGTAACATTGGCTGAGTATCTACCAGGCAACGCTGACACTCTCTGCTCCTACCCCACAGACCAGGGAGCGGGACCTCTGAGAAGTTGGGTAGGTGCTACGGTGGCCTTCTAATCTTTCTTTAGCAGGCACAAACAAAATCTGCTGTGAAAGATAGATCCAAACAGACTGGGTCTGGCAAGTTCCATGGACCCTACAGACTCTGGACAGCCCAGCTGAAAACCAGCGATCAAAAAAAACTAGACCTGGACACAGAGTCTCGAAACCCTGACCACATTTAGTTTCCTCATCTGTGGAATGGGTGTAAAACTACTTCTCTGTCATGCTTCCTCATAGCACCACTGTCAGATCAAACTGAATAACTGATGTGAACAAAACTTGTAAGCTGAAGACTTACATAAAACACAAATATATCCTTTTGTGTGTGAGTGAGACTGGGGTTCAAACTCAGGGATTCATACTTGCAAAAGAGGTACTCTACCGCTTAAGCCACACCTCCAGTCCATTTTGCTCTGGGTATTTTGGAGATGGGATCTCTTGAAATATTTGCCTGGGCTGGCCTCCAACTGTGATCCTCCCGATCTCAGCCTCCCAAGTAACTAGGATTACAGGTATGAGCCACTAGCACCCAGTCTTTTTTTTTTTTTCAATACATTTTTTCCTTCTGGCTGCTTGCTGTTCTCTCTCATTGCTGTTGGGTATCTGTCTTTTCTCCTGTTAAACGTGTACCTTTGAATCAGCTCTGAGTTGAAAAGGAACATCTCTCCTGCCTGTCAGATCTTCCTGCCATGATCTGCAGTGGCTCTGAGAGCTCTGTGCCACACTGTAGGAACACAGGAGTTTGCCTAAGGCTGCTGTAACCCTGCAGCATCTCTGTGGGCAGCATCTCTGTAGACTGAGCACACAGATTGGATCTGGATCTAGAGTCCAGGCCACAGTGCCCTCTCCCAGCCTTGTTTCCTCATCTATAAAGCAGGAGTAGAGAATAATGGATGACTGATGGGATAGCTCACATAAAGGGTGCTGTCTAGGGTAGGTGCTGACAGAGGGGTCTTGCCTGGCTTAAGTGAGCAGCTGGAAAAGGAGACTGAGACCAGATGACATTCTGATGAGAGCTGGGCCAGGTCCCTGTCCCTCCAGCCTAGGCAGTTGGACCCACTCTCCCACCTAGCCACTTTGGAGTTCTTTCTGCTCAGAGCGAAATTCCACAGGCTTTGTGGGGCTCCTGGGCACAAGCACACTCTGTCCCATCTTGGCTATTTTCTTTGAGGGAGTAAATGAACTGTAGTACATGGGGAGCATGAAATGCTGGTGCCACTCACACCCCAACCTGCCGAAGCTCCATGTGGATCTTTGTGTGGCACTGCATGCCTCTGCAGCGTGGCTCAGCCTGGCTGTCCTGAGCAGTCTAATAAAGGGAACATGCTTCTGTTCTTGCTCCGGTCAGAAGATGTCAGGGAAAAGACACAGTGTGGATGAATTAAGACCTGCAGCCCGGCACCACACTCTCCTAGCAGAAATCTCCCAGGCTCCCCACCACAGAACCCAGTCAAAACGGCTCAATGCTCCTGCTGCCATTCAAGGTCCCCTCCATGAATCACTCCACCCTGGCTCTTTTTGGGCTCAAGTTCATTTTCTCCTTATGGACTCTTGGTTGCAGTCAAATGCTATCCAGCTGTCACCCGGGTAAGCAAACTTCAGTGTGCTTGGTCTCTGTGACCTGGCTTGTATGCTCCTCCAGAAAGACCCTTCTTGACTTCCTTCTCCAGGAAGACCCAGCTTAGGGACACCTTTTCTACTCCTGCTAGCTGCCTTAGCCCTGGGTCTGTCTTCAAGGGTCTGCTACATCCTTCCCTCATACAGCTACTCCTATCCCCTTGGGCTCCTCTGTGGACAGAGGCCATATTTTTAAGTGCCTGTGTCACAGGACTCAGAAAATCCCCTCAGGCCCAACAAGTGACTCAACAAGGGCTTCTCATCTGGGACAGCACTAGTCGGGCACAGAGGTGCTCTATGCTCCAGATAAAACAGGAGCAGCTTTCAGTGTCCCTTGGTGCAGGAAAGGCCCTAAAGGATACTTGGTCTAGCTCCTACCAAGGACAGAGTTGTCTTCCCAGCAACAAGATGGGTTTACAACAGACTGAAGAGATGAGTTCACCCCTGTAGCCCCAGGGATCCATCACTGCACACCCAGGACTGTATTTTCCTCAAGACAGGCATGAGGCAGCCTGAGGTACAGGCCATAGGTGAAATGGGACAGGAAAAAGAACTGATGGAAGGACTTGGCTCCCTCCATCACCAAGTAGCCTGGCTTCCCAAGAAAACCCTGGCAAGGTCTCCTGGGATGTTCTTTTCTTTGAAGTGCTGCAGTTTTAACTGGGTCTTGTGCTCCACCTTCAGCCACACCCCCAACCCTTTTTGCTTTTTTAGTTATTTTTCAGATTAGGGTATTGCGTTTTTGCCCAGGATTGGCCTGGGACTGTGATCTTCTGCCCATGGCTCCTGCACAATGAAGCTGGGATTACAGATGTGTGCTACCATGCCCAGCCATATCTTGGGATGTTCTTGAGACTCTGACGCTATTCATAGTCTGGCCTAGGGTCCATGCCCATGACAACTCACGGGTCAGACTGCCTTTCTTTCATGGAGATGCAATTCCATCTCTTGGGTTTCACGGCCTGCTCACTGGCATGGGATCTGGGGAACAACTAGGTGTGGAGCTCCACAAAAGGAAAACAGCACAGCATGAACTGCCTCATAGAGGACAGGGCTCAACGGGCAGTGGTAAGCCCATATCTCCCTAGGGAGGAGGCTGTAAAGCAGATGACTGGGCTGAGAGCCGAAGGCCAGGTAGACTAGGCCTTCCTTCCCCATGGTCCTGAGGTTCCAGGGCTCCAGAGGCTCAAGGCCCCTACCATCTTCCTCTCTGGAGAGTGAACAGACAGGGTACTGTTGCCTGACAGGTGCTCTGAGGAGGCTGCGATTAGAGATGAGAATACCTGGCTCAGCAATGGGGTGGGGACCCCATGAGGCACCTGATCACCCATGGAGGACAGGAGGCCCAGGTCAATGGCCACCTCACAGACTTCCCAGCACAGAAGAGAATTCATACCAAGGCTCTGTCTCCCATCTGGGCCCTCGGTGACTTGGCTCCTGCATCGGTAGCCCCCTTGGCTGGCAGCCTGGCCAAGGTTGTCTGCAGCTGAAAAAGCAAACCTGGTTCTTAATATTTAATTGTGCTTAGCAAGCACACACCCCAGCTGAAGTACTCTGGTGCCACTGGGTGTGTGGTTACCTGTCTTGGTGGTTTGTCCTTTTAGTTCACTTTAGGATGACTAATGGAAGCATTCTCCTTTACAAACTGCTCTGCAACGGGAGAGGTTTAATTGTCTTCTCTGCTCCCCAACCCCACTGTAAGAGCAGTCCAAGAATTCACTAACAGCTTAATAAACACACATGCTGCAGCCATAATTTGTCTCCTGGAGTTCTAGCAACATGGATTTTTGAGTTATAGGGGAGACACGGAAGTGCCTGCCACAGTGGACACACTTTCTGGCTAAGACTCCTGTAGACAACCAGGCAACTGACCCTTAAATGATTTCTTGATCGTTCTTTACACAATGACCACACCCCATTTGACAAGGTAGGTCATAACCTGTCCTCCCACTTATTTGTTCAGCTCTTGACCATATTGATCTCTGGGCCTTTGTACCCACTGGACCCTCTGCATGGGGCTACTCCCCCACATCTCTGATCCCTTTTCATCTCCATGAACCCACTATGCTTGCCCCCTCCCTGGTCACCTTAAGCAGCTCCTCTTCTGGTTCTTGCTACCCCCTTGCCCCAGGTCACTGCTCCTTTTTGCTGACATCTTCTCCTTTTCCTCTGTCATGGTTGACTATTATATTACACATCAATGTTGTTTTGTTTCCCAGGAGGCCAGGAACTATCCAAGCCTAAGTAGCTCTCTCAAGCCTCCCCCAAGGCATGGCATAGAACATGAGATGGTTCCAAAAAAATACATCATGGAATAAAGACACTCTTATTCAATACCAAGTGTAGTGACTGACATGGACTTAGAGGGCCGCAGATCTGGGCTACAGTCCAGCAAGACCACATACTACATCTCCTGTGGCCTCAACTCCCCCAGCTACAGGAGAAGCTGTGAAGGTTCCCTCTCGTCTGTGAGCCCTCTAACTCCTAAAGGACCATGAGCAGCTTAGCTTGTGCCCTTGCTCAACTGGAAGAGTTTGTGATTAGCTGTGGGAGGACAAGGGACAGTAAAAGGAGGAAGATGGACTGGGGGAATATTTCTGGCTCTAACTTTGAATGAATAAGGATTTCTGTGAATTTATACTATAGATATTTTTCTAGTGCTTGTTATGTGTCAGGCACCGTACTAAGCATTTTAAAATGCTATGCTATTTAACCTCCATAAAACCTTAGAGTGGGTTCTATTATTGCTGCCATGTGATAGATGGAGGAAACTGAGACACTGAGAGTTTATAGCTTGCTCACAGTTAAAAATGTCAGGCTCTAGGTCAGTGCCCTCAACCACTGTGCCAAGCTGCCTTTCAATGACCTGCATCTCCTTGCTGCCTGACACTCCCTCCTCTCTGGATGTGGATCTGACAAAGACTAAGGAACTCTTTGCAAACACCGATCCACAAGCCCTTCAGAAGGACCCAAGGCTTCTCAGTATGGTCCCCGCTCTGAGGAATGGCCTGGTTCTAGGAGTCCCCTCGTGGAAGAACAACCAGGGCCCTCACTTCCTGCTCCAGCTCCTGGATACGAATGGTCAGCTGCTTCACTCTGGTTTTCGCACCCTCTGACTCTGCCACTAGCAGCCGGTTCTTTTTGGACAGCTCGACAATTTTGGTGGCAACTACATCTCCGGTCATTCCAGCAGTCCCTAAAATGAAAGAAACAATGAAGTCAATTAAAATACAGCCTGAAAATCAAACTCATGCCCAAGGTTTTTAATGCTGAAGTTTATGGAATGAGTGTTCACGAAGGGGAGAGGCTCGAGGGAGTTGCCACAACCAAGGAGCCCTGGGACACAGTTCCCGTGAGGAGAAATGGAGCCACTGGGAGACTTGGTATACTCTAGGAAAACTATAAATCAGAAATCAGAGTTTTAGTTCTGTGGGAGACAGACTGATTGCTCCAATTCATCACACCATCCCCATCAGCAGGGTTAAATACCCTATGCCCTCTAATGAGTAGGGTAGTCCTTTGACCCTTCTATGCCTGCCTGACTTTTGGCCAATGTGATGTCAGCAGGCAAGTGCAGTAGAGGCTGGGAGAGCACTTGTGCAGTTAGGCTTGCTCTCCTTGCCTATGCCATCTCCACAAGAACAACAGGTCGAGGCCAACTAGCTTGTCACAGGAAGGAGAGGGAGACATGGAACAAAGCTGAGCCACCCTAGCCAAGCTGTAGCTAAACCCCCAATGTGTGAGCTTAACAAATGCTTATTCTCAGGTGCTGCTGAGATTTATGTGGTTTCTTATACAGAATTCTGCTGTGACAACTGACCAATATAAATGCACACATTCACTAGCAAATATTTATTGAGTTTCTACCAAGTGTTGAACCCTCCCTGGATTAGAGATTTGGTAGTGAATAAAAAAGACTCATAGAGTTTACATTCTAGTAGGGGAGGCAAATCATTAAAAAGTCAAATAGATAAATATGCATTATAATATTAGAGAGGAATAAGTGTTGTGAAATAAAGTGAAGCTGGGAAAGGGGATGGGAGTGATGGAGTGATGTTATTTTACATTCAGTGGTCAGGAAAGGCCTCTGTGAGTAAGGAGGATGTGAACAGAGACTGAATGAATGAAGCGAGGGTGTTCCAAGCAGAGGAAACAGAAGTGCATAGATCCAGAGATGGGAATGTGCTTGGAGAATCTGGGGAACAGAAAGGAGGCCGGCATAGCCAGAAGGCAAGGGAAGGAAGTTAGGGAAGTGGCTTAGAGGGATGTGAATGGGGGAGGATGCCACATGTGCCTGTGCAATGGCAGATTTCATCAGACGGTCTGCAAGCTCTCTGAGTGCTTTTGACACTCCAGCAGTGAGTGATTGGCAGAGACACCTTCTTAGTCATACATTTTAACAAGACTGTGACATGCCTCAGAGCAAGATGAAGGGTGTCAATGGTGAAAAGCAAATGAAGGCATGGATGGTTTTCAAATTATCTCAGTCCAGCCTTGCTGCTGCTGGCCTAAAAAATCACCTCAGCCTAGTTTCTTTGTTGTTGGCTTGGGGAGGCCGTGAGTGAAGCAAGTAGGAACAGTTGTCCTGGGAACCTCATGTCTGCTGAAGAGGACAAGGATACACCAAAGAAATGGTTCAGACCAGAAGCCGTGAAGTATCTAGAGGGAGACAGACACCTTTTAGCAACAAGAGGGCACACTTGGCTCCACCTACAGGAGATGGGTGAGGGAGTGGCTATTAAAGGATCCCTGGGGAAATCACTGATTCTAGCAGTTAAAGAAACGCCATTCCAGCAGAGGTTCTGGCTAAGATGGAGCAAACACACTGCTCTGCCTTGCTCACTGACTACAACTAAAACCCCCAACAGGGTTCTAGATGCAAATGGCAGTAGGCATGCTGGGAGAGGAAGCCAGACTCAGGAGTATAAATGATCTAGGGCTAAGGTTTCTAAGGTATGATTCCTCCAGGATTCAAAAGCAGCACAAATCCAGAACTAGCCATCAGAAAGAGGTCCAAGAAAGCCCTCCCCCAAAGAGAGCCCATAGAGAATGGGAAAAATGTTTTTTTTTCCCTTCTGTTTCCCAGTCTTGTCTCCAGGCCAGCCTCCCTGCTAAAGCTGCAATTCTGGTAATAATGGGGGCAGCAAAGTGGCAAGCACAGAAATGCCAGTGTTTGGGTCAATATAATAGACTACTTTATCTCCTTAAGTCCTTTAGCATAGCAAAACAACTATAAGCAAAAACTGTACCATTGGTGGGATTTTCACTATATGTGTAGGTATAATAATACAGAAGCTGTGTATGTAAGTACCAATATAAAGCAACCTAGATGGTAGTCAAGTTTTTACATTCCACTTGAAGTGGTAAAATATTAATTCTAAGTAGACAGTAAAAAAATTAAGCTTGTATTTTGTAATCACTAAAGCAATCTAAAAATCCAGCCAAAAGAAAACAGTCCTTCAGTAGTCAGTACCTTGTTACTTGTAGCCTGACTCTAAAACATGACACTGGAAATCAGCAATGGTGACTTCAGAGTGAGGACTGGATTTAAGAGGTCTCTAGCATGAATTAGGCCTGCCAATCATGAGGCCCTGAAGGAGAACAATGGGACAGGCCGGGGAGGAGGGAGTAGCCCAGGTCCTGCCTCTCCTGGCTGTTGGGGCAGGGATGGACCTCCTGCTCCCCCTGGAGCCCATGGGCTTCTTTGCAGTCTTGTGAAAGTACAAGCTGCACCTTACGCAGCTGGATGGTGAAGCAGATTGAGTGTTTAGTCCTAACACAAAGCCGTGTGTTCAGTGTGTTTTTTGTTTTAGACAGAAAGGTTCAAAGAATGGAGATGCAATAAGGTACCAAAGGTCTTTAGGATACCAAAATTGGCTTTTTAAGTCAGCACTGACTGATTGAACCTTTAGCCAGGCATTTATTCTTAAAGGCAGGGAGGGACACTGGTAGATGCTAGGTCAGCCCTATTGCTAAGGTAAAATTTATAACCATAGAGCCAATGTCCACTCACATTCACACGGCCAAGGTCAGCACCAGACCTACAAAAATAAGGTCCTCACCAGACCCATGGGGCCAAGGTCCCCACCAAAAGAGCCAAAATCTAGCTCAGACCTACAGGGCCTAGGTCTAGCCTAGAGTCTGCTGGGGGTGGTTGGGTCCCAGAACTCCTCTCAGAACAGTTGATGTCCCTCTGGAGAACAACAGTAGGTGCAGTGGAATTAGTGCCTGCCTCTACTGGGCACTTTTTTCAATGTCCCTAATACAATGTCAGCTAGAACACCAAGGAGAAGTGAACCCTGTCAGCCATGGGACATGTTGTGAGGATGACAGAACCCTTCCATAAGTCCCAGTGGGGTTACCATCACCGCCTGGATGCTTGTCTGCTGCCCTTGCTGTCCCACTGTTCCTTGGGCTCCCATTTCTTGGCATGCTGGCCTCCCAGAACTGCTCTCTTCCTCTCCCGTCACTTGCAGCAGTGACCGCAGCAGACCCTTGCTCTGTTTCTCAGGCACAGACAGCCCTCTGGAACCAACATGACAACTGGGCCAACCCACCTGGACTCCAGGCAGGACTGTCACAACAATGGCTGAGCTACCTGTGAAGGCAAATCTATCCTCTTCGATTTTCTTTTTGAGGTGTTTGATTTCAAAGTCTCTTTCCTTCAGCAGCTTATGCAGCCGCCCATTCTCATCAACTGTTTCTCTGAGCTCATCTCGAAGCTGTTGGATCTCGTCTTCAAGCACCCTGAAAGGTGAAGGTAGAATTGCTGCTTCTCCACAGGGACCAGTGGGTGGGGTCGGGCCTCCCCTTCCCAGGCTCATGGTGCTTAGGTTGGACACTAGGTGGCGATAATAACTCATTTGTACAAAATAGGAAAGAAAAATTAAGGGAAGAGATTAGCAGATTTCCACACTCTGCTCTCAGAAATGAGTGATTAAGAGCATATGCACCACGTGAATGAAAGGAGAAAGAAGGTTTTGATGACCCTGCTTATTAGCTGACTTCAAGAGAACCATATAAAACTCAGACTCAGAGAATTTATCCTCCTTTCAAGCATCCACAGAGCATGCATATAAATGGACTTCAGGCTACAAGGGCAGTCTTAGCAAATTCCAAATAAACACATCACACAGACCATTTTCTCTAATGACAATAGATTGAAATTAGAAATCAACACTAAAAATAGCAAAAAGTAAAAGAAAATAAAAACACAAAACTCAAACCCCATCATATATTTGGAACATAATAAAAACCCTCCTAAATTATTTATTGGTTAAGAAGAAATCAGAATGTTCATTATGAAGCATTTAGAATGGATTGACTGCAGAACTGTATCAAAACTTTCTAAATGCAGCTGTAATTAAGGCTATGTTTCCTTCCATCATTTTAGCACATTTCACAAGTTTTGATATAGCTTCTATGGTAAGCACACACATGCACACACGCACACACACTAGAGACAAAACAGGAATTTTTCTAAGCCTTAAGTTGAGGCTAGGTAACTAGGTTTCAGGTAAACTTAACAGAAAAATTACAATAGGTGGTTGTTTTTATGTATTATAGATTGTGTTGGGAGGCTCTTTTCATAACTCTAAAGCACGAGAAACCCATGACTGATAAATTTGCAATCACTTCTATGTTAGGCACAGAGCAGAATCCCTAGAGACAGCTGCTAAGTAAATATTTTGTAGGTAATGGTAATTATCAGTTGTTATTATTAGGGCTATTATTAATAGTTGTTACTATTATTCCACCATGGGCTCAAGACCAACCAATTCCAGTTCCTCTGATCTGGGGACATAGATCAACTGGAAATAGATCTAGGACTAACCTACACCTAATATGTAGAGGCCATATGATTGTTTTTCAATTGGTATTTTTAAGTAGGTCATTTAGAAAACTGAGAAACCATTAAAAAGTTGAATTTGAAGATGGAGAAAATAGATTCTAGGCAAAAGCAGAAGCAAAGAGGCAGCTCAGAAACTGCTGTGCTTGGTGGGAAGTGACTAGCAGAGGGTTTGTAACAGGACAGGCTCCTGCTTCTAATATCCAGCAGTGCAAGTCCGTGCATGTCTGTGTGTCTCTGTTGAATTTGGGGCACACTGAGAAGACGCTGGACACCTGTCAACTTTTCTCCAACTGTAAAAAGCAAGGCTTTCACCAGAGTTTCTTTCTGACAGGGTAGTTTATGTGCTGTCACATGTTAGGAGGGGAAAACTGGCAGAGGAGGATGGTCGCAGAAGGGATTTGGAGCAATGACCACCTAATGAGCCATCAGTTAGCCAATGAGCTCCTTAGCCTTAGAGACACAAACACAGTTTTCATGAGAGAATACAAAAGAAAATTCAAGCCAATAAACCATACCTTGATAAGTTTAAAAACTTTCAATTTGAATTAAAATGGTTTTTAAATACATTTCATATCAAATTATATGAAATAGAAATAGAATAGAGCACAACTCTATCAGAAGCAAGAGCCTTCAATAATAACTTTTGTGTCAAAACTACTTTGGAGGCTGGGGATGTAGCTTAGTGGTGCAGTGCTTTTCTACCATGGTCTGGGTTCTACCCCAGCATGGCAAAAACAACAACAAAACCCACTTTTAACTTATAAACCTACACTTAGATAAGCTGATTGTCTAACTATACCTGCAATTTCTTCTCCTCCACCCTCCACCTCTCTGGATGCTCCTAGAGAGGTCAAACTTGCCTTTACCTCTGCTCTAAGATGTTCTTCAAGTTTTGCTCCTCTGTGTGGAGAAGGCTGAGGCCATCAGAGATCTCCAAGGACTCCTTTTGGTCATCAGCGTTGCTTTTGAGGCTCAGTTCCTTTTCCTTCTTTTTCTCCATCTGCTTCTGAAACCTTCTGTGCTGCAGCTCCTGCATCGCCTTGAACTGGAGCCGCAAAGTTTCCTGTGAGCCTTCGTCCACTGACATCTTGCCCTAGGAGTCAGAAATGGATTCTGAAGCAAACGCTGAACTCAACACTCAGCACATAGTCAACCCTCTCTATAGCCCCAGCCCCAGAGTCTCCTGCTGAGCTTTGAACGTGTGTTCATGCAAGTGGGAGCCGCCTCAAATCCCCTGAAAGTCAAAGCTGAGCTGTGCCTCTTCCCCGGCACTGAACATGCCACCAGACTGCAAATGGCATCAGAATACTCCCCACCACTCAGACAGTTGCCTGTCCCTTAAAGCAGTGGCTCTCAACTCTGCTAAGCATTAGAATTGCCTAGTAGCTCCCAAAATTGAACAGTGTCTGGGCCTATCCCTGGACCAACTAAATCCCATTTTCTAGGAACAGGGCTCAGGTATCATTACTTCTTTTTCTTTGAAAGTTGAGGCATAATTTACATACAGTAAAGTACATAAATCCTGAGTGTGCAGCTCAGTGAATCTTTCCACAGGCATACACTTGTAAGGTGGCCCATGGCTTCAGCTTACAAAACAATACCCTCAGTCTGGAATTCTGACCTGCTGAAATGGAGAAACTGTCTCAGAATCAAGGTCTTTCTAACCTACTGTATCACTCTCACCCTATCTCATAGTCCTCTTTGTCCTCCATTGGCAAGGAAAGGATTTATATTGATAAAACCTTGCTGATTTTAAGACCCAGCCAACCACAGAGAACACTATTGCCTTCCATTCCCTCTCTGGAATTTCATTATTGATCTCAAAGTGGTAATTTGTCACAAGATAGCACTTATCTCGGGGTCATTTCAATTCCAAAGGGAATCATCCACAAGATCATTTCTGTCTCCTGGATCCATTTATCTTCCCTAAAATACCCACATTCCTTACCTCCCTCTGCACTAGGAATAAAGGTATATATACCTTACCAAATTAGTGGCAATCACTCCCTTCTGATTTCCCCATAATATTCAATAAATCTATATGACTTTCCTCCTATTTAATCTATTATTGTCTTTCAGAGGCCAAAGGGGCAACCTTCTCTTCATCCCTACACGACTAGATCAAGGTGTAGTTCCTGCACAGACTACCTTATGCCTCCTCCAGTCAATCATCTTATATAACCACTACTCTTTCCTCTGCCATTGAAGGTAAATTCAGTCTAATGAAGTATAATTTGCAGACAACCACATCAATTTTATGTGTACAAATGAGTTCTGACAAACATATACACCTGTGTGAACCACAACCACCATTGTGAGAGAACATTTCCATCACCCCCAAAGCTCCTTTGTCTCAGTCAGTCTCCTGGCCAGTCCCAATCTGAGGCAAACTTTGCCTACTTTTGTTCACTACAGTTCTGCCTTTTCCAGAATTTCATATAGCTGGAACCATATAGCAGTTAGTCTTTGTGTCTGGATTTTTTTTTTTTTTTTGCTCAACACCACCTTTTTGATAACCATCCACATTGTTGTATGTATCACCAGTTCATTCTTTTTTATTGCTGACTAGTAATACATTGTATTATAGAAAAATTATGCTTTGCTTATACTTTTGCCTGTTATTTGGATACCTGTTAGATAGTATGAATAAGGCTACTATGAACATTTGTGTTAAGAAAATATTTATGTGAACATATGTTTCTATTTCTCTTGGAAAATACTTAACAGTGAAAATGCTGGGCTACATGGTAAATTTACCTTTAACTTTATAATTTTAGTCTTTGTAGTTGGTCTGTAATGCTATCTCAATGTGGTTTTAATTTGTATTTCTCTGTTGACTAGTGATATTGAGCATTTTTTAATGTATTTACTTCTTTTGTGATGTGCCTACTCTTTTGCTCATTTTTAAATTGTTTTGTTTGTCTTATTACAGAATGGTCAGAGTTCCTTATATATTCTTGATGCTTTGTCTGTTTAAACTTCACATAAATGAATAATAGAGGACAAACCTTGGATCCTTTTAAATCCTGCCATATGATTTCAAAGTGTAGCTAGTGTTAAACATCCCTGTCCTAAACTAACACATCAGCCACCCTGCTATGGTTTGAATAATATGGTGTGTCCTCTTGAAACTCATGCTGAAATCCAATCATTCCTGTGAAGTACTAACAAGGTGGAAATACTATGATGATGGTGTTTAGAGTTGGGACCTGTGCACGGTGAATGGGATTAAGTAAGGTCATAGGGTAGAGTCCCCATGATTGAATCCTGGTGGCTTTATAAGAAGGAGGGCTGAAAGACACATACACACACACACACACACACTCACACACTCCTGTTCTCTTTGCCATGCAATGCTGTGTACCACCTCAGACTCCCATCAACAAGAAGGTCATTTGCATATGTGGTCCCTTGACCTTAAATCTAAAAAGCTCTTTTCTTTATAACTCATACAGTTTGTGGAATTGTGTTATTGGCAATGGAAAAATTAACATATGAACACCACCCAGTACTCACAAATCTTCTTAATTCTCCATAAACATCCTCATATCTGTCCCCATATCGCCATCTTCCTGAGCTCATTCTCATTCTCATGCTTATAACCTCAGGGTATGTGTACTTGCTGCATCCTCTGCTGGAATGCGCTTCTGCTAGACATCCTCTCAAATGTCACCTTATCAAAGAGGCTGATCTCACCTCCTATTGTAGCAAGCATCCCTACCTCACTCTCCATGCCCTTCCCTGTTTTATCTTCTTCCACAGCACCTAGCTTCACCCAACACACTGCATATTGATTGCATTTTGATGGTTACTTTTCTCTCCCTCTCCGCCAGCTTCACCTGGCAGTCACTGTGTGTTGATCATGCCACATCCTCAGTGCCTATATCAGGGCCTGGTATGTAGCAGGCATGATAGGCGGAGGGACTCGTTTCTCTAAAGCACAGCTCTGAGCTTGACATGTCCCTGTGCAAAAACCACAGCAGATGTTCATTAGCCACAAAACCAAGTCCAAAGGCATTAATGAGGATCTGACCTCACTGTCTCCTTCTAGACTGTTTTCCCTTTTATACTGCAGAGTGAGTTCTAGCTAATTGGGTTAACTTGCTCCTTTGTCCTTAACATCCTCCCTGCCTTGAGGCTTCAATCTTGCTGGTCCCTCCAGATCCCTTGGAAGAACACTGTCCTCGCCCTACCAGCCTTGACTGCTCTAGCTATACCTTCCCACTGTACTTGTCTCTGTCCCCACAGAGGTGGTCCCAGAGATGCCTCAATATTGAATCTGCAGGCCCCACCTGGAAATATTGATTCCCAGGCCCTGCTCCTACAGAATCCAACTCAGTGCCTCTGGAGGTGGCGACAGGCAGGCGCAGGGCTGTGCTGCTTGAGTGGTTCTAACATGCCCAGCACTGAGCCCAGGGTTGAGCAAAGGTCAAGCCAAAGCAGAAGCTGGTATTATGTTGAAATTTCTCTTCGAGTTGCTCTGCTCAGTAAGACAAATTGTATGATAAAGAATTTACTCAGCAAGTCTGGGTTTGTCCACACCCTGCACATTCCAAAGAAAGGTTTGGCCCTTGACCTGCTCCTAGGAGATAACCTCTAAGAATATCCTGCCTGGTAAGAGTATCCTTCTTCATTCAGTGTGCCTTGGAACACTCTAGATAGTCTATGCTAACAGTGTGATTGTGGGAGTAGCTTGACCTCTAGAGGGGCTGGAGATTGAAGGCTAAAGTCAGTCATGCAGGTGGTCAGCCATGCCTATGTGACCAGCTCCCAAGAAAAACCCTGGACACCAAGGCTCAGGTGAGCATCCTTGGTTGGCTATCTCAGTGCATGTTGACACATGTGGTTTCTGGGAGAAGTAAACACTGGGTACATGACTCCATTGGAAATGACAACTGGAAGCATGTGCCTGCTGTCTCTTGTACTCTGCCTCGTTGTGTACTTCTTCCTTTGCCAATTTCGATATGTATTCTTTCATGATTATAAACTACAACTGAGAATAATGACTTTTTTGAGTTCTGTGAGTTTGTCTAGCAAATCATCGAAACTAAGGGTGGTCTTTGAGACCCTAAATTATGGGAACCCTTGGACACTTCTACTGAATGTATGACAGTCACTGCCACCACAGTATGTCCATTTGGATGGGATGTCCGAGGACATAATGTAGGTTTAACAATCAAACTCAGCTGGAAGCTGGTGGCTCACATCTATAATCCTAGCTACTGGGGAGGCTGAGATCAGGAGTATCATGGTTTGAGGCCAGCCTAGGCAAATAGTTCATGAGACTCCCATCTCCAAAATAACCAGAACAAAATGACCTGGATGTGTGGATCAAGTGGCAGAGCACCTGCTTTGCATGTGTAAAGCCCTGAGTTTAAATCCCTGGTCACACACACACACATACACACACAAATCAGAGTCTCAGACTCAACATTTTAAACTTAAGGCAAACATCATACTTCATATTTTAAATTTATACATACAGGAGTCAGCAAACTTTTTCCGTAAAGGGTCAGACAATAAATAATTTAGGTTTTGCGTGTCAGATGGTTTCTGCCACACAGCTGTATTCTGCCATTGTAACAGAGACGTGTCTGTGTTCCCATAAAACTATAGTGAGCTGGATGTGGATTGTGGACCCTTAGTTTGCCAACCTGACTTAGAGGAATATCACTGAAAACATTTCTATAAATTGAAGAAACACCTCTTAAGCCTATTATTTGAAAACATAACTAACATAGATTAAAAATAAATTTATCCTATGATTTTCTCCTTTTTGTAGATTACAGGAAGGGACAACCATATTCTTAATTTTCCAAATTGAGTTATCTTGGAGAAAGAAAGGAAGACTATTAATCACTCTTGGCCAACAGTGAGTCATAAAACAGTGGGTTCTCATTCCTGCTGCACACTGGAATAACCTGGGGAGCCTACAGGTATGAGGCCCAGGTGCTATGCCCAGGGGTTCTCAAGTCATTGGCCAGGGGACAGCTGGCCCTTGGACAGTGCTTGTCTGGCTGCCATACAAGTAGACTGGTATGAACTAACACAACACCTGGAGTTCAATGTGGGCTTAGCTCTAAACCAGCTCTG